TTATATATATATATATATATATATATATATATATATATATATATATATATATATATATATAATGTTGTGTATACGTGAGAGAGACAGAGTTAGGTTGTTTTTATTTAACTGCCCCAGTACCAGGTCTATCAGCCCTATGGCTGACTTAGAATTTCCAGGTTTTGAAACCTGGCTGTTGTGCATCATTCCAATAAATGATGGACACAATAAATGTCTTTTTTTTTCTCCCTGGGAAAAGGCCATAAGCCCAGAAAGTATGTGATTTTTATAAGTCTTTGTCTTTTTCAGAATGCATCCTGAAAGCCAGAGAGCTGTGTTTAAAATTCTTCCTAATAGAACAGTCAATGAGAGGTGTATTGTACTCTGTAGTCCCCTCAAGGGAAGAAGCCCCTGCTTCTTTGGAATCTCACTAAGCATGTGTTCTGGGTTTTATTTGTTTTGTTTTGTGTGCGTGTGGTCGAAACTATTCAGTAAACGTGACATGAATTCATGAATACTTTTGGTTGACCCAAAACTGCATTTTTCTGCAGATAAACTTTTGCCCAGCTCTCTTGGTAATGGATCTGTGTAAAATGCAAATTTTCAGGCAAGCACAGTTAAATTTTCCTATTCTGTAGCATTAATGGATTCATATAATTTATTGATGTATTCTTTTTAGTATAGCACTACCTGTATTTCTGCTCTTTAAAGTAGCATGTTTAATATATGAAACTAAATTGATAAGCCGTGTTGAGCTCAGCTTTGTTTCACTGCATTTTTAAATGAATTTATAATAACTTAACTGTAAAATTTTGTTCGTCTCTCGTAGAGGCTTCTTTTTGCCAAACTCTTTGGTCATTTAACATCTGCTAGAAGGGCAAGAAAATCAGAGATTCCTCACTTCCGGCTGAAGAAAGTGCAAAATATAAAAATGTGGCTCTCTCTCCGGTCCTATTTGAAGGTAAAATGACCATATTTTTTCCTATCATTCTTACACTGTTAATATAAATGCATGTCCCATTGTTGGAAAGCTGATGATATTGTTGCATTGAGGTCTGCCCTCCTCTGAATTGCTAACTTCCTTTCAATATCCTTACTTCTCTCCTAATCCAAGACATTTTGGCTGCACCTGTTGCAATAAACAAAGCTAGCTCAGGCTTTTCCAATAAGCTCCTGGTCCTGACCAAGCCCTTTGTGCCTTTCTTTGACTCCAGTGGTGGTGGTTTAGCCTCCTGCCTTATCATAGATTCCCTTATGACAGAATAAATCATATTCTTGGGGGAATTCTGCACCACGGCGCAATGCAGAATTTTGCAGAAATTAATGTTGTGCATGCAGAATTTCCTTTCCCCCATAGAAATGGGCTGCAGTGCTGCTAGGGGCCACTGGACTCAGCAGAGCCCCAGCTTGCAAATAGAAGACACTGCTGGGGGTAGAGAGGGGGAACTAGAGGGTTCCTGGCAGCTGCAGTTCCCAGCATGCCCTGATGGAAGGGAGAGGGTGGCACGCAGGAAACTCCGTGCAAGCCTGGGACCAAGCATTAGGCTTTCTCTCCCTGTGGATCCCTGGGCTCTGGGGGGGAGTGGGATGGTTACATGGGCAAGGGGGTGCTCTGCAGCTGGGCTCTGGGGGAGGACCGGGTGCAGGTATCTGGGCTGGAGGGGGGGGCTGTGGTTGGGCTCTGGGGAAGAGAGGGTTTGGGTGTATTGGCTGGGGGTGGGGGCCTGCTGATGGGCTCTGGGGGAAGGAGAGGGTTGTGGGTGTCTGGCTCCCTGCTGGACTCTGGGGAAAGGGAGGGAAGGGGCAGAGAAACAGGAACTGGGATGTCATGGGGGTTTCTTTAACTCCGCTCCTGGGAGAATTTTTGTGTTTGTTTTGTTACAGACATACTTGCTGACAGGTATTTTGAAATAAATTACCAAAATAATTGAAACTGGCATGATTATGTAGTGTTATTTTGACAAATAAAATTTGCAGAATTTTAAAATATTGAGCACAGAATTTTTAATTTTTTGGTGCAGAATGCCCCCAGGAGTAAAATCAGATGGAGCAATCAGAAGATAAAGTGGAGCTCCATCTACAAGGAGACTCTCAAGCGTAATAAAAAGACAGCACTGCCATGATTACTCCCAATCTGCAAACCCTTCTTCCAAGGAATGGCTTGTTAGGGTTTCTGCTTCCCATCATATCAATAAAGGCTCTTCCAGAAACCTCTCCATAAGGGAAGATCAATCCTCTTCTTCACGTCTTAAAACTCCACAAAGTGAATCATCCTTCCTAATAAGCGATTCTTCAGGGTAAAGCCCAAACCCTCACCCCCCATCTCCCACCCAAGTCCAAGGTCCAGGCCACCTCCAAAAGAAAAAGTCAAGGTATCATCCCAGGTTCTTAAATTAAGTAACTGAGCTGCTGGGCAAATAATCCTTTCAGTTTTCTTTCCAAATGGAAGTTCTGAACTCAGGAGTGTTCTCTAACAACTTATTCACAGCATGTTTATAAAGATGTTGGTTCAGCTAAGGATTCTACAGGCTCATTTAAACCTGTTCTTAGATGACATATTTACCAGAACACTATTTTTGAGGATCTTGCAGGAAGTGACCCAAGAGGACCCCTTCTATTCACCAAGTACGCAGGTTCATCATAAACTTGAAAGAGCGTTCCCTGATCCTCTTTCAAGAATAATCCACCTAATAGTTGAGGTGAACATAGGGGAACTAGTTTCCCTATCTAGTCTATCTAATCTTATCTATTGTGGGTACTTATATGATATCCATTACTACTGCATCTGAGTGTTTTGCAATCTTTAATGTACTTGTGCCTAGAAAACTTCTCAGATAGGGAAGTACAATTATCCTCATTTATAGATGGGAAGCTGAGACACAGAGACTATGTGACTTGACTAGAGACACACAGGAAGTCTGTGGCACAGAATCAAACCCAGTTTTTCAGAGTCCCAGGCTAGTGCCCTGATCACTGGAATTTCTTTCCTCTGTAGACAACAGAGATCATCTTCTTCTTCTTTTGTATGACTGGTGGAGAGCAGCAACGACAATTTCACCTGAAGTTGATTGAACCAGGTGGCTACATCAGGAGGAGCAAAATTTATTGCAGTGGATGCCTCCTTCATATTTATAAGATTTGATAAGATGCAGACAGTGATTTCCAGGGTATCGTGGAATCAGGTGTCTTCCATCCGTCTTTAACTGCAGCTTCAGTTTCCAGCATAGAGATTCTCCAGGGGTTGGCTGAGCCCTATAGCCTCATGGAAAAGACTAAACTGCCTCCAGCCTTTGCAGGAAGTGAGGTTTAGTCTGAATGTCTGGGAAAGAGATTAGTCCCAGAAAGAAAATGTCATGTAACAAATTTTCTACAGTACTTGGCCTTTTTAATGAAATAAGCTTCCTTTTCTAAGATTAAATATAAAAAAGCTACACTGCCTAGACTTCTCAACTTAATTATATCCTTGAATGCTAACTTTATACAGAGTATACCATTGTTAAAAATGCTTTTTTTTTCTGGGAGGCCAGGAGGTCTTCCACTTTTCCTTTTTCGATCCTGAAATGGTCTGTTTTCCTTTGCTTCCACCACGCTTCTGTTTGAGAAAGTCAGGGCATCACTTCATTTTGAACCCTTCCAACACCACTTTCTTAAAGGGAACTGTCAACTTAAAAATGTTGTAAACAATCTTGTTTACCAATATTATTAAAATAATATTTAAGTTAATATTGTATGAAAGTTTTGAAATACAGATTACTTGTTAGTACTTATGCTCTTTATTTCTCTCCTCTCCGACAATGGAAATCAGTTTCACTTTATGTAGTCGCTTACTTAGTACAGCAATATTTGTGTTTCAACACTGCAATTAAAAAAAGAAAGCCATACCTACTAGGACCATCTGTCCATTACTTCAGGCTCTCCTTTCATTATAAGTAAAAATCAATGGTTTAGTAAATTCACTGCCATCTTATACAATTATACTTTGTTCCCACCATGTAACTATTATAGCATAATTCACAAATTCTCCTCACCTCATCCTGTTCCATCCCCACATACCCCTGAAAATAGGGGAGCCTTGCGACACATCTGGAAGGTTAACCAGTTTGGACTCCAGAAGACCAAAGAAGGAAGCATTATTCCATAGTCGAGTGACCCTCACAGAGAGTGCCTTTCTGGCAGTTCCTTCTCATCTCTGTCAAGGGAGCTCCATTTCTAGCAACTCTGCTGATCACAACTGTGATAGTATGGAATAATGAAAGAGGCAATCTCTAAAATAATATTAGACCAAAACCATATAGAAGTGCTTTAAAGGTCAAAATAAAAACCTTGAATTCTACCTGAAAGCCCAGAGTCTCTGGTGTTGTTAGACAAGATGTTATCAGATACTCTGGACAAACTGTAGCTTCAAATGATCACAAGGCGCTTTCCTAAGCGGAGCGCATTACGTCATACAAAGAAATTATTTCAAAGAAAAAAGCACAGAACTATTTTTAGTAGAACTTTAGACCGTTTATATAACTGTGTTCAGCCTATCAAGAGCCAAAATTTTGTGTTTACTGTATATGCAGTTCATTTGGCCCCTGCACCATATTAAATTGACTAATAAACTGTAGACTACATTGTAGTCCAAAAACAATTTGTCAATTATCCTCCCATGCATTTTTGTGGATGAATTTATTGCTTTATGAAAACATTGCCTAAAGACATGCAGAACGCAGACACATTCTGTTGTAAAGATTTCCTGGATAGTTTTGCCAAAGCCCTTCATTTTTGATTTGTACAATTCTGCTGTTCCAGAGCCTGTTTTGAGCCAACGTGCCAACTTGTGCAAACTGTGGGTTATATAATGTGGGTAGCTATGAAGCAAAGAGAGACACTGCCTTGACGCAGCTTGTATGTTCTGTTGTGATTCAAGACATTGAGATTTTAGAATGACATTCATATGTGGCATTTTCGTTTCCCCTTTTTTGTTTTTTTCCCCATTTGTCACGCATGCACTAATAAACTTTGTGCTAGGACAAGCTGTTCTCAATATTCACTTTGATCATTATCCAGAAAAAAGTGGAGTCACTGGATTCAGGAGAAATTATATGTCTTGTTTGTTCAGGTTCTAAGTGTGTCCCAAATAAGTAAATGATACCTCACAATCAAAAACTCCTACATTTCTCATTCATGCAACAGAGAAGTAAAATTTTCAGAAGGGAAAAGAAAGATGGGAAGTAAAAATGAATGTATGTTCATAATGTACACATTTTTCAATCCAGCAGAGGGCACTCAATTCTTAAAGGAACCACCCCCCCCCCCCCCCCAGTATTACAGGATCATCTTGCTGTATATGTAACTGGGAGTGAGGTTATTGAAAACAATAAAAACATGCCTTTCCAGTCATATTAGCCTGTCCCAGACCTTTCTTTTTTTCCATCCCTCCCTCATGAGAATTTTCGCATGTAGAAGCATAGTATGGCTATGTGGGATAATCTTTTGGTATCCCAATGCAGTATTCTTATACTGAAAGATTGTTGTACTGATGTATGTAGATGGCATCTTGATAGCAGTAGTCTGTATTCCAACTCTGCTGTCAACCCAAGTTTAGTTCTTTGCTATGGCCTGAGGCAGAATATCTTTTCCATTCATAAGGCAGTTAAGGAATACTATTAACTAGCAACTTTTGATCACTGAGGAACTGAGCAAACCAGTGTTTCATAGTCTATTATAGTTTCTCTGAGCCACCCACTTCCCCTTTCTTCTTCATTGGTGATGCATTGTCTCAGGAAATATTAATGTGTAGCTACACTGTAAAATTAAAATACATTTTGTTTTTAAAGTTCTAGGTTATGCCACTGAGAGCCATAATCAGCCTATGCTGGGGGTGTGAACCTGACTAAATCTACAAAGTTTCTTGGTCAATTACTACAGAGACTTTCACTCAATATGTTTCCCTTATTTTCAGCGGCGAGGTCCTCAGCGGTCAGTCGATGTAATAGTTTCATCTGCCTTCTTATTGACTATTTCAGTTGTATTTATCTGCTGTGCTCAGGTGAGGATACCTCATTTATGTAAAGACAGCCAAGACTTTACAATGTTTCTTTAAAAATGTTACACTTTATAAGCAAGCCTTCCAGGCTGGAAGATATACAGTGAAAATAACTATCATATGGTTAGTGCCTTTTCAGAAGATTAATTTCTACTAGAACTCAATTTATCCATTTTAGAAGTTTAACTTTTTAACCACCAGTGTATGGCTAAATGTATTCTACCAAGAGTATAAATTAAAAGTAAATAAACTGACATTGTTTTCATATCTCTGTTATAATTTTTTTCATCCACTATCAAAAACCTGCTTTTGCAGGCACTTTGTTTAATTAAATTAATCTGGAGGGGTTAATTGGGGATTTTAAAAGTATAATATAATATTATTCAGTGAGATATTTTAATAGTGTCTTAATTATTTGCATTCTGGGTGTTTGTATACTGTCTCCTATTCCTTTCGTTCTGTTGCTATAAATTGCCATCCTGATTTCTGTGAGAAATAGGAAATGCAGTAGTATTGTAGCCATATTGGTCCCAGGATATTAGAGAGACCAGATGTGTGATAATATCTTTTATTGGTCCAGTTTGTGTTAGTGAGAGAGCTTACACCGAACTCTTCAGGAAAGATTACATTGTTAAGTGTGCTAGTATTAGCCTGCCCTCTAGTGGAATAAGCAAACCTATGTTTATATAGCCTAATATTTACTGTAAACACTTTCTTGGATGTCTACAGCTAACAACCAGGAGCCCTGTCATTTGAATCGACTAGCCATCGTTTTTCCATTCCTTTTTAGCCAAAAATAATTTAACTGCCTTTTCCTGGTATATAAACTAAATAAGGCTATGATTTTGGCATGGAAACTTATAGTAAATTTCATGGCAGAGGTGCAGGAGAAAAAAAGATAAATGACGGAAAGGTCATTCAAGGGAGCCCCGCTCCACTAGCCCGACCCTCCTGGAGGCCCTGCTCCCCTTTGCCCGCTCCTTACCTTACTCTCCCTGCTGGTGAGCCTGAGGCCATTGGGTGACACTTCTGTCCCTCTTCCTGGATTCAGATAGTCTACAGCACCTAGAGAGGGGTACTGCCATGGTTTCGGCAACTGGTGGGTGAGAGCCCAATTACCAGCACATGGAACAACATATAGTGGGACCTGGCTGCTGGACAGCTGGATCAGGCCCCAGCACTTTCCCTTGCAGTCTAGTTTTAAAAAGGAGGTGGGGGAGAGGAGAGTGGCTCTTTGGCTTTCCAACCTCCTCGTCTCTGGCATCTGTGGAGCTGGGTTCAGCCTATGGGACAGGCTCGTCCCGGTTTTTATTCAGATGCATTATTATTGTGAACACCATGACCTCCATACCAAAATCGTAGTGTTAATCATACATATTTTAATATGAACATAATTTTAAGTTTAGCAACTTTATATGAATTCAGTTTTCTTTTTAATCCAAGTGATAAGTATGTTGCTGTTTTCGAGCAAATGTGATAACTTAAGGAGTTCAAACCTCTTCATTTTGTATTAAAATATTTTTTTTGCTTTACTTACATGCTAAAGGGACCAAAACTTTCTAAACTACTCTTAGGACTGCTCAGTCCTTACATGAAAACCTATCTCTGTTAATAGAATGTTGGTTTTGAAATATAAAATAATTTAAAAAGTCTATTATAGAGTAAAAACCAGATCCATACTTTTTACAAGAAAAAAAAATATTAGGAACTAAAGTTCTTTTATCTTACTGTAGCATTAACCTTTATTTTGAAGTTCAATAACTCTTAATTTTGCTTTTTCTCTTTACTTTCAGTTGCTTCATGTGCATGAGATCTTCCTTGATTGTCACTACAATTGGGAACTAGTGATTTGGTGCATTTCATTAACTCTCTTTCTCCTAAGATTTGTTACACTTGGATCTGAAACAAGTAAAAAATACAGCAATACCTCAATATTACTTACTGAGCAGGTGAGAATGTACCTAGACCTGCATATTTATCTCTCCATATGTCTTCAGTCTGGGAGTCCATGGGCCATGGACTTTAAACAACCCCAAATTCAGTGAAATCATGATATTAAAGACATATACAACATGTTGCTCAGTTCCCATATTTTTCCGTACTGCCAAATCTAGAGTAATGCTCAGTAAAAACAGCTTTTAGCCACTTCACAAATCTTACAGTAGTCTTTTTCAGGCGAGCTGAAGAAGCTTCTATAAAAGTTGCTGTTGCCCTAGTAGAATGTTTCTTATATGGGCTTCCTATAAGAAAAAGGTTTTTTTAATTAGAGACAAGGTGGGTGAGGTACTATCTTTTATTAGACCAGCTTCTGTTGGTGAGAGAAGCAAGTTTTTGATCTTACACACTGCTCTTCAGGTCTGGGAAATGTACTCCGTGTCATAGCTAAATACAAGGTGGAACAGATTGTTTAGTATATGTAGTCAACACATATTTCAAGGGACCATTCAAGGTGAAGTCATAGGTCAGGAAAGGGGAAAAAAATGCTGGGGATAGGATTTAAGTTGGCTATAGATCGGATTTCTGAGTGAGAGGTCAGCTATGGAGTAATCGCTTTGTGGAAAGTATTCACAGGATGTTTTTGTCTTCTATCATTTTTCTCTGTAAGTTCATTTGAGAGCTTAGTGATAGTCTGGTTTCACCCACACAGTTTTTATTGGGGCATTTAGTGCACTGGATGAAGTCCCTCACATTATTGTGATAGGCATGTGTAGGACCAATGGATCTGGAAAGGTGTGTTGTGGGGGGTGTTGATCATCATAGCAGTTGATATGTCTACAGGTTTTACATCTGTTCTGGCAGGGTCTGGTGCCATTTTGAGTTGGTTTGTCCTGATCTCTGAGGAGCTTGCTTCTGATGATGAGCTTGGAGTGGTTGGGGAATTGTATGAAGGCCAGAAGAGAGAGTTCAGGAAAGATTTCTGTCAGGATGTGGTCCCCATCAAGTATGGGTTGTAATTGTTTGGTGATTCCCTGTATGGGTTCCAGTGTGATGTGGTAGGTGACAGCTAGAGGTGTGTGGTTGAAGGGGTTTTTATTTCTGTATTGAAGCAGGTCATCTCAGGATATCTGGATGGTCTGTTCCCTGATGCAATCTACTTACCTGGTGGAGTGTCCTTGTTCGGTGAAGGTGGTTTTATATGGGTTAAAGTGTATATCCTGGACTTTCTTCTCAGAGTATATTCTGTGTTATGTGAATGCCTGCCTAGGGGTAGATAACCGATTTCTTGGTGTGTTTAGGGTGGCTTGATGTATTTGGGATGGTGAAGGTAGGGATGATGATCTGTGGGTTTCTTGTATGTAGTTATCTGTATGGGTCCATTGCTTACTCCTGAACCCTGAGCATGGTATTCAGGTAGTTGATGGTAGTGTGGTAGTGTTCTCTATAGATAGTTGAAGTAGTGGACATCTATGAGGGAGTTTAGGTCATCTGTCCAGAGGATGAAAATATTGATGCATCTCAGGGGCATTTGTTCAGAAATTCTTCTTCAAGGTGGCCCAGGAAGAGGTATATTTACATAAGGTGTCTAAACAAACACAGCTTACATGCAACTTCTCTTAGTTCCCTAATCTTGGAAAGGATCTCTTAGGGAAGGCCCCATCTTACAGAGGATCCCTAGACCAACTAGATGTTTATAGAATCCTAGAATTGTAGGACTGGAAGGGACCTCGAAAGGTCTTCTAGTCCAGTCCCCTGCACTCAAAGCAGGACTAAGATCAGTGTGATGAAGTTGTTCTTCACAAGTGTGGAGTTGATGCTGCAAAGGAGAAACACGAGGCTGCTGTTCTGCGTGAAATCTGGCAGAATCAACTGGAGAAGATAACCTTGCTCTGGATGGGCGGGTGAATAAAGAACTCACTAAACTGGTGGAAGGAGCAACCTCATGTCTGTGCAAGCATCCCTTTCTGCTGCCCAGCCCTATCAGTGACTCTAACAGCCAAAGCCCAACTCAACACCCTCAAGTTTCAGGGCAGATGAACAGCCCACAAAATCAGCTTCCAACTTGTTGGAACTCAGGATGATCAGGAATGCTTGCCTCCATTTCCTACCCTTCATCAGGGCAAAATGATCAGGGTCATGACAGACATGTCCAGTATGTTTTACATCAACAAGCAGGAAGGCGCAAGATTCCCCTCCTTGTGCACTGAACTTATAAAGCTCTAGAACTGGTGCATAACCAACCATATCCAGATTTCAGCAGTCCACCTTCCAGTCCATCTGGAACACCACTGCTGATGCCCTCAGCAGACACTTCTCCCACGACTACAAATGGGAACTAGACACTCAAGTCCTCCCTTGCATATTCCAGAGATGGTGAAAGCCAGAGGTCGATCTTTTTGCCACCTCTGATAACAGGAAGTGTCCTCTCTTCTGTCCAAGAGGGATCTAGGTCACCACTCCCTTTGGGACGCCTTCCTTCTACCATGGAAAAGACCCTGTTCTATGCCTTTCCTCCAACACCCTTAATTTTAACAAGATCAGGCAGTATAAGACCAGAGTTTATCCTCATAGTGCCTACCTGGCCAAGAGAAGCGTGGTACTCTTACCTACTTCAGCTCTGTATCGAAATGCCGATCAGGCTCCTGATCATTCCTCATCTGCTTTGGGATGTGGGTCACACACTTCACCCCAAACTGGCAGTTCTATGGCTCAGAGTCTGGCTCCCGGATGTTTCTCTGGAATAAAGGTTTCCTGCCTTACGGAGGTGCAGTAGGTGTTATTAAGTAGTAGAAAAACATCAATCCGTGTACTTATCTGCAGAAATGGAAGA